TGCCCGAGAAACCGACCGAAACCACCGAGCGAAACATCCTGCGACGCGATCCTCCTACGGAGAGCTGCCGCGAACGCCGCAGCGAAAGGAGCGAACGGAGGAACCGAGGGACTCTCGAGTTCGAACTGGGATCCGGCTGGGCCGCGGTCCCGCCGAGTGTTCCCGAGGCCAGGATCGAGCCAGCCGCACAGTCAGCCGCGGAATACACGTGTGCGCGGTCGTGATCGATCGATCATCCGCCGGCGTGGGGCGATCGAGGGCTGGGAACCCCCGGAAACGCGTGCGTGCGTGCGTGCGTGCGGAGCGGCTCGCAGGGTCGCGGGACAGACAGCGAGAGGTCGCCTCCTCCGTTGATCGGCCTTGCCGGGGTACGCCGTTCGTATCGGTCCGGCGACACACGCCGTGAATATTTCACCGCGCTATCGATCTAACGCCGCCGCCGGCACGTGCGCGCCCCGCGATCGCGAGAATTTCAACCACCGGGCCCGATACACGGCGATCGTTCGGACGCGGGCCTGGCCAGGCCAACCAACGATCAGGTACCAGTCCAGAGAAAGAAACAGAAGCATCCTACAGGGGAAACGGGATCCGAGTTGACCGCTGTTGCGAGAACCCGCTCCTCCGGGAGGCTCCGACGCCGGGAGGGTTAGGGGCTCGAAGTCTAAGATCTAGCCGCGGCCGCTCGAGCCGACTCTAGAGTCTCTAGGCTTTAAGACTCTAACCGTCTTTATCGGCGTCTAAGTTGAGCCTCGAAGCTCGCCAGACTCCAGGCTCCCAGACCTCTAAGCCTTCGAGACTCGACCTCGAAGCCTCGAGGACTCGAGCTCTCGCAACACTGGTTAAGACACTTCATACTCCGCGTCTCTCAACTTCATCGCATCAGTCAGACCGAGCCCAGTGGTACCGGTGACCGTCTGATCCCTTTTGTTCCATCGATGTGCCGTTCTGCTCCCATCTGCATCCCCTATTCTTGTGACTTGTGGCTGAGGGGACGTGTCCGGACGAAACGCACCCCCACTCCCCCTGGTTTTATATTGGAAACGTACGTTGTAGGTATGTTACGGTGAATTCGATTGATCCGCTATGTGTAACCAGTCGGTATGTGTAATCGATGGTGATGGTGGAGAATGATTATACATGATCGTCGGGGGATTGATCGTTTTGCCCGTGACATACGTTTCACGCGTCGACTGCCCTGTCTTCCGAGTCCTGCGAAAACGAGGGGGACGATTTCCGGCCCAAGTTTTCAGCGTCGACTCGGCAGTCGACGCGATACATGGTTGTCCGTGTGATTGTTGTGTTCGTCGGGGTAGAAGCACGTGGAGGATCACCCCCGCACGCCGCCGGACTAATCTCTGTCATCAGCGATCGATGAGATTGGCAGTGCTTTAGCTTGTTTTATCGACCGGTGAACCCTGCGGCTGCGATTATCGCTCTGCTAGCTATTCAGTGTGAGGTCCTTGGGAGATACCGGCTGTTCTCGCGGTCGGCAAATTCAAACGACCGTACGTCCCGCGATCCTTCCTGTTTTCCGGCCGTCAGCGATCGTCAGCGGCTGACTCGTGTGCTCCGGTGACCCGGCTGCGGGCGTTTACGCGTTACGGAATTCTTCGGCTCATCCAGCAGCTACTCTCGATGAAAATCAACGAACGCTCGGTTTCAATGGTAGAATGGAATTATCGTGGAATTTTTGTTAACACGTTGACGCGAGTGCTCGCGAATGTAGACGCATATTCCTAGTATCGTGAACAAAGGAATACAGAATTCTGTGCTGAAGCGTCAACGTGTTAAACTTCCTCGTGAATCGAAGGTGTCGATCGTTACGTCGACGGTTCGTAGTTTTCGCAATCGTCACGCTGCGGACTTTCGTGCTGGAACGCGGTATCGTGAACGATGAACGGTTCTAGCGACCGTTTGATTCGTTGCGCCGTGTCTATTCGGAGGCAAAGAATTCCTTTGGAAGATTCGCGTGAACGTCGGCAGTCGACATCGGGATTGTGTTAACTCCCGGCCAGAGTTCGTTCGGACTGAACTGTGAAGTGACTGAACATCCTGTGTGTCCTTTATTGTTGCTTGCTGTGTGCTTTCCTTGTGGAAGTTCGCGCGCGCGGGGCCGGAGAGCGAACGGGAAGCGGGGCCGGCGCGATCCTCGCCGAGCGGAGTGGTTTTTGCGGGGCGTCCGGAGCTTGTAACTCACCGGTCGCTGTCGCTTAACGACTCGCGTCGGTTTTGCCTCGCAAATCATACCGGGGACGATTACTGTCGCGGGCCAAACGAGCCGAGTAAGACGCGGCGCGAGAGACTTATCGAATCTGCCGGCGGAAGGCGCGCGTTTCCGAGCGAATTAATTCGCCCGCTCGAGATACGGGCTTGTCTTGCCGTTCGACGAGAGGCTGCGAATTTTCTGCGCCCGTTGGAACCCGGATGGTGCGGATCGCTGTTAGCTTTCGTTTTGCTGCTCCAATGTTTTGTTCAGTGGAATTTTTACTGAATTTTGATGGGATTTTTGGATAATTTTAATGGAATTTCGGGAGAATTTTTGTAAAATTCTGACTTTTATTCTATTTAGATTAATTTTCGCTTCGGTTTGTTTGGATTGATCAATGAAGAACTGTCGATTGATGAGAAACTGAAATTCGCAGTTCAGTTATTAGACATCGGTAATTACAGAAAATTATTCACGCGTCAACCCTCGATTAGTAGATCCGAATGTTCTAAGTCGTAACGGTGAACCATTAAATCAGGAATCTCCATAAACATCCACGATCCTCTCAGAAACACAGAAAGACTGTGGTCAGCTCGAGTAATTCTTCAAGCGGTTCTATGAATAATCGATGATCTCAGTTTCTATTTCGTTAGGATTTTTATTTTTATTCTATCGTCAGGTCCCACGAAGTAGGCCGAGCTAATTTCGTTGCACTTGCACCGCGATCCCCTCTTTGACAATACAATCTTAGAATACTCGTCAGGAGACCCGAACGTTTCGAAGACGTCTTTCTTCTGATAGGAAAAAGTGGGATTTTTTCGAGAGAAAAGGAACGCTCGAGCGTCGTCGTCGCGAACGCTGAAGGATCACTCTTATTCCTTCCGAAAATTCTGAACGATGGGATCCGCGACGCCGCAAAGAGTTTTTTCGATTCCCTGGTGCCGGGCTCGTTGGGATTCGCGCGGTGAAAGCGGAATTTATATTCCGCGAAGAGTAACATTTTTCTCGGCGGATTATGCAGCGGCGTCGAGAAGATTGCGGTAGGCTTTCGGGAACGAATGATCTTAATATCGTCTCCCGCTCGACGTTCCCATTATTTTTCATCAAATATTCCTAGCTCGAACCGTAACAGCAGTTTTGCGACCCGGATAATTAAAAGGTAGATTGGAGAATTATAACCACATGAATATCACGATTATGATTAATTTTTTTACCCTCTTATACTCTTATCGAATTTCAAATGGAAATAGATGACTGCGTTATTAAATAATTATAATGTAGATTGAATAACTGTAATTACCATATTTTTTTACCATATAGTTTTACCGAATTTCAAATGAAAAGAGATTACTAATTCCACAATCGAGTCTTCCAGCTTGAACAGGAAGGATTGTTTCCCAATGAAATAGTCGTTTGCCCATCGAAGTTCATTAAAATCAAAGATCTCCCCTCGAGAGCCGTGCTTCGACAACCGATTCTAATTACTGTCGACGGCTGGCATTAATTAATCATTCGACGAGGTGTAGGGTCAGGATCTAGAGTGACGCGAACCGCTGGGAGCGATTCGGTCGGGGTTGTTCGCGGTTTTGCCGGCTGCGCCGCGGACGACGAGCGTTGTCGTGACAAGATAGTCCTTGCGGCTGCGGCAGATCAATCGAGGGCCTCGACTATTAAAGTTACCGTCGCAGGGTCGACCGAACAGTCCTCCGTGACGAAGCGGCGGGCTCCGATTGCTCGCGGAATCGTCGCGGTACCAGGCGAACGCCCGTCCAATTCGAACTTCAAAGAATCTTCCATCGATCGAGTGTCTAACGAACATTTGGGAACCTAACGTGTTCATTTTTTCAACAGCGGATCATGCCAGTTGAAACGACTGGTTTTAGTTTCCTTAATTCGTAACTATCGATGTCTCGAAGGTGTTAAGTATCGGAAACGATTTTCAAAGTAACTGGATTTATTTGGATCTAACGATTGAAGCAACTGGAAGTAATTTGTTGCTGCAATCTTTGTAAAGACTGAACGCCGTATCAAATGATCGGTTCTCTGTGTTGCACTTTGATCATTCGATAATAGTAATATTGATCATGTAATATTACGATTGTGATAATTATTGTATAGTTGCCGTCGAGTGCTTGGAGATTTCCGTAGGCAAGAGTGGATAATAGTCCCTGTACCTTTTTCAAGCGTCCCCTGCCTCGAGTTCGATCTCGATCGTACCGGAGAAGAATTCGAACTTTAACACGGCAATGGAAACTCTCGAGATAGTCGTAAATTTCGAAGCAGAAGTTTTTCGAGCGCGCGATGGATAGCCAGCCAAGGGGAAAAGCGTTCCCCGGGTCGAAAAAGCTCGGAGCAAGCGTGAATCGCCTCGGACCACGGAATCGGAAACGACAAAGAACAACGGACACGCGATCTATCATATAGCCGAGGTGCAATTAGAATTCCGGACCTTGGGGTCTCGTGCCGAGCGGCTAAATCGAGCGTGCGCGCCTGTCTTCACGCTAGATTACGATGACAAAATATACTTGCGCAGCGTTCGCCGCGACGGCGGCACCGCGAATTCGCTCGTTTCCATTTCCGGCGAGGATTTATATTTGTTCCTATTAATGAACGGTAGAGCTGATCGGATTTCTTCCTTTATAATAATTAAAGGGACGGGAACGTCTTCGCGGGGAGTCGTTGAACAAATTCGTTTCATAGCTTCGCATTCTGCTAGATCAATTGAATCTTAGCAAATGCATCCTTCAATTCGTAGAGAAGCAGGATGAAAGTGAGAAATTGGGCAGGGGTTAGAATTCACTTGGGAAAGGGTTAAATGAGGAGATTGGTGTATGAGAAAATGAAAATTCACTCGGGAAAGGGTTAAATGAGGAAATGGGGAATAGAAATTCACTGGGGAAAGGATCGTGCATTCGAGGATCGCAAATGACAGTCGCGTGTAAAGCTCGCGGTGGCCGGCTAATTTCGAAGGACACGGCAACGGTCGTCCATTATACGGAATGTATGCCCACTGCACGATCTCGCGGCACGATGATTTGATACCGAACCCTTTAACCGAAGCCTTGACGCACAGCGGAGATTCTCTAACCAAAGGATAACGCGAGTGTGACGCTCCTAAAACCGATTAACGCGTTCACTGGCGTCGCGCTTGCCGTTCACGGCCGACTCGCCGATCGGTGAGATTAATTGATCGTTTCTAAACAGTAAATTCATCGTTAACGCGAATTAATAGTTCATTTCTGAGCACCGAAGATCGAAAGTCTCTTCAACTCCTAAACTTCCAACCCTTGACGCTGCAGTAATATCGAACGCAGATCTCAATTCTTTCGAGTTCAAGTATTATTGTTCAATTATTAAACATTTCATTCCAAAGACCAACAGTTGCATTGCTTTCGTTTAGCAAACAGACGTAGAATGATCACGGAATCCTTTTTCATTTTCCAACGAATGACGAGCAATGGAACAGCTCTGCGAAATCCCAAGCGAAGGAACAATTCGATCGAGCTTCTTCTCTCGAGGAAAATCAGAGCGAAAGGGTTGACGCGTTCGAGGACAGCCTCAGCGAGGGTTAAGCGTCGCCAGTGAACGGGTTAGTCGCGGTCCAGCCGGTTGACGAACGCATTCAACGAACCGGTGCGGTGCCGCGCGCGGGTGAGAACTAAAGCTTTCCCCTGTCACCCCCCATTCCCCATTGGCTGCGTTTCTATGGGTCGCGACGCGCGCGACACGGTGTCCACGAAGGAACAAAGGGTAGCTCCCCGGGCCGGTCGAAAAAAAGAAGCAGAAAAAAAGGCATGCGAACCGATGGCCGAGACAACGTCCGCGTCGAACGAGGCTCGTTTCGATCGCGAGTGCAACAGCCCCGGTCGTGCTTGAACGCAAAAAGAAAACACTCTCGGCACCACGGGAACACGCAACGGGAAAAATTCGTAGCTGATTGGCCCGCCCCGCTTTAGGGCAGGCTTCCTCTTCGAACAGAGAACTGATATGTATATTCCAGTGTGCACGCTCTATGTCGAAACGAAGAATTAACGAAACCGCGGACTGAGGGACAAATTAGGGAAAGAAACAAACGAACAGAAAGTACAAACAAAACAGACCACGAAATATAACAGAGCTGAGAAACCAAAGACACACGTGCGCTAGGGACAGCTTTCGTGATCGTCGAGCACACCACCACCACCGCCCGCCGCTGCCGCTTCTTCCTACAACTGTGTTTGTTACCGACTCAACCAACCAAAGCCAAAAACCAAAAACGAACGAATACATCATCAAGAACTGTTATCGTGGCAGACATCTCTTCCTCTCTCTATAAATATATAATATATATTTATACATACACACACGCTTATACAAGTATAAAGAAATCTATAAATATTGTAAATACATATATATACGTATATAAATATCGTACACAATTACCTACCAACACAGCGAATACGTGTTCGGCTAGTAAAAGTAGTCAAACAGCCAATAAGTCAGTCATGAATCTTATGTTCCGCAAGAACTTCGGCGAGAAGGGTCTCGGCGGTGGTGGAGGAGGAGGAGGTGGCGTAGGAGGTGGCGGATTGGAGGGTCGATCGGCCGTAGGTGGCGCGTACGCGTCGGGTTCCGTCGGGTACGCGACCGCTAGGTTCGGCGTAGCGCGCGCCGGGGCCCAGTCGCCGGCGGTCGGCCGGGGCCCGATCCGGCGTAGCAAGGAGTTCGGCTACTTCCCGTCGATGGCCGAGCACGAGCACCAGGGTTACGCTTACCGGACTCACCTGTTCCTCACTCCACCGTCAGGCGGCGCCCTCGGCTCGCCACCGGACGAGCCCACCGACCGGCTAGGCCCGCCGCCCAGGAAGAACTCGGGCCCGCACGTCATCAAATGGGGCGGCGGAGGCGGCAGCGGGCCCGGCCAGGTGTCCGCCGCCGGCAGCCAGCAGAGGAGGAAGCCCCAGCAGCAGAAGGACCCGTCCGAACCGGTGACACCCACTGCCTCTAGACAGGTAGGTTCTTCGTTTCATTATTTGCATTTCGGAATGGAGCTCGTCGATAGAGTCCCGAGTAGTTTGGGAGATCTATTCTTTCGAATGCTGAGGAGACTCGCGCTTTCGCGGAGGGAAAGTAGTAGCTCTTTCGTGGAGGAAATTGTAGCACTTTCGCGGAGGAAATGTGTGGGTCTCTTGTGAAGTAAGACTTTTGGGAAATAGTCTTCTCGTAGAGGCAGAGAGAAAGTAGTAGCTCTTTCGTGGAGGAAAGTGTCGCACTTTCGAGGAGAAAATGAGTAGCTCTGTTATGGAGAAAAGAATAGCTTTTCGCAGGTGAGTAGTAGTTTCTTGGTAGAGCTGTTTGTAATAAACATTTAAGGTGACCTAAATATGCCGGCAGAATTAAGCAATAATAGTAAACAAGAGATTGGCACACTCAATCGCAAGGCACTTCCAAAAGCATTTGCGTCCAGTCAGCGTTACTTCACAGCGTGACAGGCTAAACGCGATTCGTGTCGACATCAAAGCCACACTGATACACTTTATTACAATGGCCGAAGACGTTGCAGTCGTATATAATTTTCGCGGAACCCCTACTCATATCCGCGCGTCGGAGAATCGTCTATAACTCACGCTACAGCATAAACCGCTGGTGTTTATTGCGGCCAGGCCCGCGAGACAGAACGAGTCTAAGAGTTCGGCGACACTGATTTAAAATCGGTGCTCAGCGAGGCTCTAAATTCTACTGAGCCGACAGAAGCGGGTCTCGGAGCTTCGATTCGTCTGCGCATTTGAAACATCGTTTGAAAAGAACAACCAGGTACACGCGTTAGTTGCAACGTCCTCGTACTTTCAACTTCTTTTTAAATTGAAAGCAGTCACAGATACAACGAGTGCACCATTAAATCGAAGATCAAACAAATTTACTAGTACTAAGAAGATGAAAACCTGATGGGATTAAAAAGACCGCAAACTACATCAGAAATGCGTATATTTCTGAAAGTAAATACACAAACGCAAGAAGAATCGTTGAATAGACCTGCGTGCAAACCTAATAGACATTTGCCCATCCGAACGAGACCGTTCCATCTCAGCCGGAATTACCCCGGTTAGGCATCGCAGTGAACCACTTTGATCATCGAACTCAAACGAAATCTCTCGAAATTCGTCCGCGATTTCTCGGAAGCAGGATCGTTGTCCAAACGTTGCACGCCATTAATATTAATTGGTCTCGTTCGCACGGTAATGGAATGAACAAACAGAGACCGGTTCGGTGTCGCGCGGCGTCAAGGAGCAATCGGATACGTCGGCGGTCGTTGTTGACGCCGGCGTCGTTCGCGGACGCCGTGTTTGCCAGCCGGGAGGGGGGCAGAGACAGAAACGGAATTAATCTCGGCTAGAATCTGAGGGATGCAACGTCTCGTTCGGCTGCTTAACGAGATATTTCGGCTCGGGTGTCGCCGGTTAAGGGAATTCGGGCTGAATTCAATCAGCCGGAAGCTGCCGGATCATCCCCGGAATATGGAAATCGGTGTCTAAGAGGATGCGCTCGCTTGCACAATCGGAATGCTCCAATTAGCGAGATACTCCGCGCCGATGTCAGAGTTCCGACGATCATTACGACTAGGGATAACGAATTCATGGGACGTTCACGCGGGAGCAGCAAGGATTCTTTGATGCTCTCCGTTCGCGCGATGAACAACAGATCGAGAAGACGTTAGAGGTCTCTTAGCATTCACGTTTCTATTTTTACGCGTGACATTCCTCTTCTGTTTAGTTGGAAGTTCATCCGAAGAAGTTAAAAGCGTTGCAAAAGCTTCCAGCTAGAAGACTCCGAAGCATTTCCATTTACTTCGGATTGTTTTCCAAAGGTAATTCGTTTGCCTCCCCGATTCTAGACGCATATTCTATTAAAAGAGGAGTCCAAAGTTCAATAGACTCATACAGATATTCGGAGATCAAGGAAAAATAGCGTTCAGATCAGGACAGTTCGAGATCAGCCAACTAGATCAGCCATCTATCAACATCTAGGTGCTGAAAGGAAGCCCGATTTCCCTAGAAATCCTTCGTTTCCCCCGAAGAAGCTATCAAATTCAGTGAAATCTGTACTCAGCGTACAGTCCCAGCCTCCCAGAATCCCCAGAAACCATCAACAGCTGCATTCCAGAGGACGATTCGAATGAATCATCGAAACTGCGGCTTGCGAGCGGCCGCCTGGCGCCGCGGGCGAGCGTCGGCCACCTGAAGCACGGCTCGCAGGGCATCCTGGCCGATATTTCAGCGAGGATCCCGGACGCGCACGTATCGCTGGGACACGTAGCTACCGCGAGACAGGACGAGCGACCTCGGGATAGCGCCGCGGACGGAATTACGGCGGAAACGGAGGGCAGCGCGCACGAGGAACCGGCCGCATAAAGTTACACCTACGGCCGGCACGCGAACCCGCCATCTTATTGCACGCCAACGTGGACCTCGCGACGTGCCGTAAATTTTCCGGCAGCCGGCCGGCTATGTCCGGCAGCCGACGGTCATCGCGGCCATTCCGGACCGACGATTGATCCTGGATTCCCCGGTCGAATGGTGTGCCCGTTCGCCGAGTGGTCGATGGATCCTTGGGAGTGGTTCACGGGTTCATGGAATCAAGCGTTGAACGGTGGATTGTCGGCGGAGCTGATGGATAGGCTTGCAGTTGCGGAATATTAGTGTCGCGAGGCTAGGATTTATAGTCGGTAACTGCTAGAGATAATTCATAACGGGAAATAATAGTATTATTACTATTAGTAATAATAGTAGGATAATATTACAATTATTAATATTAATAACTAATTATCAGTAACGATACTAGTAACATTGTAACGTCAGCATTCGATTAACCCAAGAACACTTCGCGAAGACTCGAGAACTCAGAAGCTGTCTGACCACTGCTGTCCCAATCCACTTAATAACGGACAGCCCACCGGCAGTTTCAATTTTTCGATGAAATTTCAAAGATCCGTGCACACAGCACCACTTCATCCTTCGTTTCGACCAATAAATTCATCGATTTGTTTAACTAACAGCTCACGGGAAGCCAGACAAACGAATATCCCGAGGAAACTACGCTTTTTCGGGCGAAGAGTCGTCTTGATCCTCTACATCTTAACGCCGAGAGCCACGCGCACGTAAAACCTGAATCACGTTTCCAGGTCGCGAGGATCGTTCCGGAAGCTGTCTGCCGCGTTGACGCGCAGTGTAATTTCCACTCTAATTTCCCATCCCCGTTGTTTTTCTATTCCGCTGAAGGACGGCTCGCCCGTATCTTCCTCCGCGTCGCGTCGCGTCGCGTCGCGTCGCGCCGTACCAATACGTCTCGCCGGTTCGCTGAAAGAGACACGTCGCTCGTCGACGGATATACATTTACATTCGCCTCCACGGTTTCCCAGCTCTGTCTTGCCGATGTTGTCGCGGAAAGTCCTCCTGTCAGGCTGCAGGCTCGCTTCGCGCCGCCCGGAAACGGGTTCCCGGTGACGCGTCTCTTGCATTCCGCTCGCGAAGCTTCAACTCCGCCACCGGCCGAGCGTGAGCTTTTATTTTTGTCGCTGTCGGCGGCGAATGTCAACGAGTGGCGCAATGATTAACGCTTCGACGATCGATTGCGGGTATTTTTTATTTGGATGGATAGATACAGAGAGATTTGCGGCTGGCGTCACGCGGATGCTGTGTCAGAGGTTTAGAGTTGCAGGTGAAGCAGTTATGTTTGTTGTTATAACGTTTCGATTGAGTACGATAAAATGTAATGTAGTATAGGTAATTATATAGAATTGGTCAACGCTGTTATGTAGGTTAACGCGGTTATTTTCAATGTTCTCGGATCGTTTCGACGGAACCAGCTGTGATTTATTGCGACACGCGATCGCCGGTTACTGTTCTTGACATTTTGGAGCTGCGAGCCGGGACCGAATGTCACGTTCACGGTGTCCACCATTCGGGAGCTCTCGAACACCGATGCTCGTAAACGCGGAGAAGTTTAAACTGGGTGTTTCCTATCGATCCTTCGCTTCGTTGCGCCTGGGTCATTGTGGACCCGCGTTTTCGACGATTCGGTTCACTTTTAGGGGTTTAACGATTCAACGATTCAAAGATTCAAAGATTCAAAAATTCCAAGATTCAAAGATTCAACGATTCAAAGATTCAAAGATTCAAAGATTCAAAAATTCAACGATTCAACGATTGAAGGTCTCAAAGATTCAACGATTCAAGGTCTCAAAAATTCAAAGATTCAACGATTCAAAGACTCAAAGACTCAAAAACTCGAATATTCAAAAACCTCAGAAATTCGAACTTCCAAAAACTTCGGATTTTTCATCGAAAGAAGCGACGTTCCTCCCTCGAAAACGTGCGTTGTACGCGAATCGAGGTATCACCGTGCTCGTAGACGTACATACATTGTGTATCTTATAGTTCGAGTGAAATTTACGAGGAGACTGCACGCCCAGGACGTGGACGGTGAACGTGTTAATAATGCAGCGGGCTAGCCGTGGTTCAAGGTACGAATAGCCTGTAAATACGAGACGCGCGGCGACGTCGGCGGTCCTGTTTACGATCGGCAGTAAAGGAACGCGTTAGTTCTTGGAACCTATGCGCTCGCGTGCAGGACGCTCTCCAACGTTCGCCGCTGCTGAATAGTTTATCGCGTCGTCAACGGCAGGAAACGTTTACGCTAATATTCGCGATATACCGAGAAATGCGTGTGATTCCTTTTAAATCGGGGATTTAAGGATCGGCGTCGAGTGCGGCGGGGTTGCGAGAGAATTTTACGGCCTATTAGCGGAATTGCGTTCAATACCAGCGATTTCTCGCCGAGAAATTATTGCGGTAAAATTAAGTTAGCGTCGTTGGGTGTGCCAATAGGTATTCCACTGTTTATGCCATGTTTACATGTTTCAATCGGAGTGCAGATCTAGCTTGTTAAGTTTCTCCTCAACATCGAATATAAAGTCTTACTTCATCCTTGTTTGGAAAAAGTGTTATGTATTAAGTGCCACTTATTTAGATAGATTATTGCTATTATAAGTATTACTATTGTATTATCATTACCTACTATATATTTATGTACTGCTACAACTATCACTGCCACCTACTATTACTACTACTACAATTACAAATGTCGCTAACAGAAACACAAAACTCGACACTATCTTCATTATTCCAATCACCGAATCCACAATGCAATTGTCGGAAATGAGGGCAGCCCTCAACGAAGGGCATGTTCCTAAAAACTGCTCCAGTTCGATTACACCGAGTGACCCCCCTTTCGTTTGATCCGCACAGGTCTCCTTCAGCGGGAACCGGGCGTCCGGCACATACACGCCCCTGGTGGTCTCCGGGAACAGCCCTCCGCGCGGCGAGCCGATCTCCCTGGCCACCTTGGACCGAGACTGTTTCATCATTCCCCTCGCATCCCTCGAACGTTTTCTGCCAGCCGGAGTACCGGTACGTGGCGCGAATTTCCCGCGGTAAACGCCTCCTCTAACAGTTTACTCGAGGCCGCCTCTGAAATCGGAGAACGCGGCGCCGCTCTGTAAGTTCCGCCGGTGTCCCGTGACACGCGACCCACTCTCGCGACCTGTGTAAACTCGCGGAAGGTATCCTTTGGATCGAAGAATACGTTGCCTTCCGTTCCCTCTTTCGGTCCGCTCAACCCCTTGCGGACGAGCACTTCGCGAACCGTTGGAGGTCTTCAGTGGAGGAACTCGAATGTATCGAACTTCGAATAATTCAATTATTCCTTCGCAGCATTGTACTTCGAGTATGCTATATGAATATGCTATATGAACGACTCTCGTCCTCAAAGGGTTAATCCTGCGATCGAAGTCCGAGAACGTTTTGGAATTTTTTGCATTTTTCTAGTTTATACGGTTTTATATCTTCGCTTGCATCTGTTTTATGGACGGAGGTCGGGAATATTTATTTCGTATGTTTTTGTAGATTATATGGATTTATATCTTTGCTTGCATCTGGTTTATGGGCAGAGGTCGGATGTTTTATTACCTTTTACGTTTTTGTGTGTTTAAGTCGAAACTCGTGGAACTTCTCGGTTCACGGCGTTTCGGGTTTTATTAGTTTGAAACGCGCGTTATTATACATTGTTGAGTGAAGCTTCACGGGAACTTTACCCGAGATTCCCCGATAATTCAATGAAACGAAAGAAACTGTTAAGAGTATGACATTCGGACATTCATCCGGCGGACTGTAGATATTTCACGTGTCGCGGCGGACAGGATATTGCGCGCGACAATGATCGATGATCGGGAACGACCGTAAATCGTTCGAGCCGCGAGCGGTTTCGCGGCCGGCTTCGGATGGGAATAACGTCGACGCGACGCGACGACAGTTTCATTGGCCCGCGTTGAACCGGGTCGCGAAAATAATAACTCCGCCGCGCGTAATAATATTTCCATCGTTCTCTCATCGGCCTCCGCGAGAACGTCGCGCCACGTGAATCGGGAATACACCTGCTAAAACCGGAACGCTCGAGTTATTGGCCTTAGCGTATGCTCCGTGTAACCGCGAGCAGTTTGCGACCTTGCTGGCCCGGCTACAAACGGTCAGAAATAGATGGGACCGTGTGACCGTCAACGCGGCGGAACGCGGGGCGAGTGAATGATCGCCGCGTGACGGAAGTCACGGAACGGAAACACTTTTCTTTCATTTTTTCATCGATCTCGAGGGAACGGACCACTCGTCGAGACATTTCGGAAGACTATAGACGGTCCTGAGTATTTTCTTTATTGGTTTTTCCTTTTAGGAAACGTGGGAGTGTCACTTCTCGCGAGCGATTTGGTAGGACGAATGGGAATAACGATCGTGTGACGGAACAGAAATACTTTTCTTTCATTTTTTTACCGATCTCGAAGGAAGGGACCATTAATCTAGATATTTTTGAAGAC